ATGTGACTATACACACGTAAAGCGGAGAATCACGGAGCTGGCCTCCTAGCCTTGTTTCCCACCCAGTAGAGAAATTCACAATTTCAGTGTCCATGCTAAGTAGTCTTTCAGCTTCTACTTGAATTCCTTTGAAGATCTTAAGTTTGTTACTCCGTAAGTGCATATATACCATTTTAATAGGAAGTTCTTCTTTACCACAGTAAGTTGAGAGTTTCCCCTCTCCTCTCTTGACTTCGTGCTAATGGTCCCTTTTCTGCCTTTTGGAGTCATGTGGAGTAAATTTAATCTTTCTAAGCCACGGTCTCGTGGCTCTTTCAAATTCCATCTTGTCTCTTGGCTACACACACCTATTTCTCTTCATTGTACACTTCTCTCCCCGCTTCCTCCTGTTCCTTCTTTTTTATAATATAAAGAAACCTTATAGGTGCTCATTATTGGAGGAAACTCTGTGTCTCCAATTTCATGGCAATTGTTGGACATGTAATTCATCTTTAGAAGTTTCTCAAGTTTCTCATGAATTACAGTTTGAGGCTCAATATAAAGAGTTTGTCATGAAAGTGAATTTTAAAAATAGCACTCTCAGACATTTATGTATTCAATTTTAAAAGTAAAGTGAAATTATTTCAGAAACATAAGCCTTTAAACTTTTTTGATGTGTGTTCTAAGTATTCTAAAGATGGAGCAAATGGGGCATGATGACAATAATTCTGAAGTGTCCTAAAATAGTCCATGGATATAAATATTAAGTTAAATTGTAAGAGAATAATGATTTTGTAGATCAGAATTAAGATTCTAATGCACACTTGACCTAGTAAATGAACTCTTAAGGAATGTCTCATTGTTCTCCCTTGTGTTACTGTGTTTTTAGTACAGTAAGTCCAAGCCAAGAATATTAAAATCTTGGCTTTTTAGAGGAAATTCAGAGGCTTAAAATAAAACTTCTTTATTAGTGATTCTCTACTAGCCATTTACGTTTCTGGATCAGTGTCATTTTCCTTTAGCTAAATATCTTAAACAGATTTGTCTTAGAAAAAGTGTATATTGTTCTATTTCCTGTTTTTTCTACTTTAAATCGATCTCTTTTAATCACTAAATTTTGTTAGTTCTTAACCTTTATTTTTGTGTATAAGCATTAGCAAGAATAAGTTTGATCAACATTGAGTTGCTATCATCTTTATAAGAAAAGCAGTAGTAGCAAATTTATTCATTTATCTAGGTGATGATTACTGTTTTCATGAAAAAGTTCTCATTTAATAATATTTTTCCAGCAACTGCAACATATATGTCTGGTGGGTAAAAGTCTGGAGAAAAAGAAATTTGGCATCTTTAAGAAGTGTACACTTCTTACGAGGCAGGGAGGAGAAGCCGAGTGGACTTTAAATAGAGTTATCCAAGCCTATGAGAATGGAGGGAAGTGGCCCAAGTCTTAGGGACATTGTTCTTCACTCTCTCATTTTCCATACAGCTTAATGCTGATGTGGAGAGACTGATGGATCCTGAGTTGGCAGAACTATTAGTCTAAGAGGAGGATGAATTGAGGATGCAGGTGTGGAAGGACAGAGAGGAAGGCTAACACGGAACCGGGTGGAAGAAAGGTGTGCAGCTGCCTATGGTTAAGACCAGAAGAGCAACTTGTCACATGCAGTTTTGACTGAAACCCATCACCCCGGCTTTGTTAATGTTTTTACCTAGTGCAATTTCTTTTCCAGTGACTGTTCCAGGAATAACGTGCCAGATGGAGTGAAAGTGTTACTGGGTCGAATGAAATCCTATTACTAGTCCCATATGCTCACAGCCCCTGGGGCTTTGCAGCTGCAGGATTAAAGACTAATCCTGAGTGACAGACGCAAAAGGGGCAATCCTCATACATAGTAGGTGCTCAGTAAACGCCATTGGATTTGAGTGAAGACACTAGTGATTGATGGGGCTGCCTTTGCAATAAGAAACATGAGTTAAGACATGAACATGTTTTAGAACAGTTTCTGCCTACAATTCACAAGGAAACACTTCAGTCCGTCCCATCTTTCTTTCTTCTTAAACAAATACTTTCTGAACACCTGCTAAATACTTAACTCCTTTTAGGTACTGTGTGTGGAAAAACAGTCATATAATCCCAGCTCTTTATGAGGTTGAGGCTGTGTACCTAATTTTTTGTCCTCTAACACAAGCTTTAAAAAAATCATCTCAAATCCTCCCGAATTATTGCCAAGTTTGAAGAAAACAAAACAGCACTTTTATTCATTTGTATGTTAGAGTGTGTTAAGCAGAAAATTGCGATCAATTTCACGATGTAAATATAAAACAGACTGGAAAGGATTCTGTGTTCCTCTGAAACGAAAGTGTATGCTGTGGGTCAGATTTTTCTCTTCACTCAAAGTGAGGTTTCTCCCTGTTCCTTAAAGGCGCTCCCATGTATAGTTCAGTGCCATCCAGGAATAAACCCTTTCAGTGACTCATTATTGGGCAGACTCAGATATATAGGGAGAACTACCTGTACTAAATATTTGTTACAACACACCTTGCTAATATCAGTTAAAAAGCCCCTCTGCTGATTTGTTTCTTCCCTCCAGTTGCCTGTCTCATTCTCAAGATTTTTTTTCTTCTGCTTGCACAAATCAGTTTCCTTTTTCGGGCTGCTTTTTTCCCTCACCCCGTCTGTCTGTACATCTCTACGGCACCTATCACCATAGCACCCATTTAATAGTATCTGTGCTAATTATCCTATCTTTAAGACACAGTGGCTTGGTTTGTTAGAACAGAATTTATACTGCATTTCTAATTATGGGCATTTATAGGTAATTGCTTAATTTTGATGTGGTAAGAACATGGTTTGCCATATTTTTAGAAATAGTAATTAGAAATGCACCTCCTAAAATCATTACTTTAAAAACTTCATTAACACTTAAATAAAGAAGCAGAATAATTTAATTAGTAAAAGTTAATAAAAACTTTCAGTTGCCTTAAATGGTCAGTAAAACTGAAGGGGATTGTGTGTATTATTAATTTTTTCTTAAAGTTGAGTCAGATCAAAAAAAAAAAAAAAAAAAAAAAGTTGAGTCAGATCCCTATGTGCTGGATGTGAACTCATGAATTTTCTTTTTCTGTATCCTTGGCCATTGTGTTTATGATTATTGTGGTGGTTGACCTGGATTGTTTTTCTGAGTAGGAAACACCCTCAACAGATAAAAATCAGCGCTTATCTTGGCTTTGCAGTAAAAATCCCAAAATAGCATAAAAGTTTTTAAGGAGTGAACAAATCTGTAGAAATCAGAAAGGAAATATGTATGTGTTTTTAGAAATCTCATTTGAATTCAGATTGTTTTTTGACCTCTACTATATATTTAAATAGGTACTAGTTTTCTATTTTAAGCCTCCATCATTGCTGTGGTTTTTAAACAACAAAGCAAAACAAAATAAAACAAAAATCCCAAGTGAAAAAAAAAAAAAACTTAACTGTAACTCCAGAGATATTTAAAAGCATTTCTGTAGAGACACAGACGTAGAGAACAGACAGAGAACAAACATATGGATACCAAGGAGGAAAGGGAGGTGGTGGGATGAATTGGGAGATTGGGATTAACATCTATACACTATTGATACTATGTATAAAATAGATAACTAATGAGAACCTACTGTATAGCACAGGGAACTCTACTCAGTGCTCTGTGGTGATCTAAATGAGAAGGAAATCCAGAAAAGGGGATATGTGTATACACATAGCTGATTCACTTTGCTGTACAGTATAAACTAACACAATATTGTAAAGCAACTATACTCCAATAAAAATTAAAATCAAAAAAACATTTCTGTTCTACAGTGGGAATCAGAAGGAAAATATAAACAACATTGATTCTAAAAGTTTGAATAGAAAACCTTGATAATCTCAGTCATGTTTCCATGGATTTCATTAAAGAGACATTCCAGCTCCACGTTACTCATTATAATTTATTTATTAAATTTAATTAAATGTAATTCTAATGTTAGTCTAAAATATTAGGTCTCTAATAACTATTAGTGGTTTGGTATTAATTGCGAACTTAGAGCATTAGGTACCATGCAGGACAGAAGCCACAGCCTGTGTCCTTGATAGCACATGGGGAGCGATGTAGGAGCAGGGCCGTGCATGTGACGTGTGCAAGGGTGGACACCCGAGGAGGTTAGAAATAAGGTGGAAGGTATAAGGGAACAAGATCGTAACTGCGTGTGTGGTTGAGCGTCTCTTTTAAACACCAGGGCTTTTGCTATGTCCTTCAGTCCCTGGAGCAATTGGGCATATATTGTAATGTCCCAAGTGTCCCCAAGCTGAAATCACTCTGGCTTTCATATACCTGTGGCCTTTCGTGCAACCTTTATTTCTAATGCTTTATCTTTTATATACTCAACTTCCACTTTTGGTTCTCCTTTACAGCAAAATCATTCTTGTAGGTTCATCTTCTTGACCACAGCTTGGCCACCCCTCCCTTCTTTGTGCTCTTTAGGTGTACACTCTTCTCAAATACTCAATACGTTAAAAAAAATTGATGCCACAGCACTGTTACCTTCCAGAGATCCCATTTCAAGTCCTAATTCTGTTGTGTGTAGCAGTAATAAATAGACCAGTGGGGGATTTAGGGGTTGGCCGGATAAGACACATATCTAAATCCTTCAGATATGGAAACAAAGGAACAAAATTTCTAACAGCACTCCTGGGCATACATAACAGATTCCTTTTCTTTTTTTTTTCCCCCTCATTAAACTTTTTTAATGAGTCTCAAATTCTGTGACAGATTTTTGGTCAAGTTGTTTCTATTGCAAAGTACTGAGTTTAAAAACTAATAACTTAAAACTGCCACACACAAAACAAATGGTCCACAAAACATTCTCCTTTCCTTCTGAAGGTTTTACGAGGCATTGTTATCATTAACCAGTCTTTTGCTATTAAACTTAAATGGCCAATTGAGACAAACAGTTCTGAGACCGATCTTCCACCACTGATTAAGACTGAGGTGACAGGTGTTGGGGATAATATTCATTTAGCCTTCTGAGCTTTCTGGGCAGACTTGGTGACCTTGCCAGCTCCAGCTGCCTTGTCCACTGCTTTGATGACACTCACAGCAACCGTGTGTCTCATGTCACGAACAGCAAAGCGGCCCAGAGGAGGATAGTCAGAGAAGCTCTCAGCACACATGGGTTTGCCAGGAACCGTATCAACGATGGCAGCATCACCAGATTTCAAGAATTTGGGCCCATCTTCCAGCTTTTTCCCAGAACAATGATCAATCCTCTTCAGCTCAGCAAACTTGCAAGCAGCGTGAGCTGTGTGACAATCCGGCACAGGTGCACAGCCAGCACTGCTTTGGCCTGGATGGTTCAAGATCACCACCTGAGCTGTGAAGCCAGCTGCTTCCATCGGTGGGTCATTTTTGCTCTCACCAGCCACATTGCCACGACGAACATCTTTGACAGACACGTTCTTGACATGGAAGCCCACGTTGTCCCCAGGAAGGGCTTCACTCAAAGCTTCCTGGTGCGTTTCAACAGACTTCAGTTGACTGGAGCAAAGGTGACCACCAGGCCAGGTTTGAGAACACCAGTCTCCACTCGACCCACAGGGACAGTACCAATACCACCAATTTTGTAGACGTCCTGGAGGGGCAAAGGCAAGGGCTTGTCAGTTGAGCGAGTTGGTGGCAGGACGCAATCCAGAGCTTCAGGCAGTGTGGTTCCACTGGCACTGCCATCCTTACGGGTGACTCTCCATCCCTTGAACCACGGCATGTTAGCTCTTGGCTCCAGCATGTTTTCACCATTCCAGCCAGAAACAGGCACAAAAGCTGCTGTGTCGGGGTCGTAGCCAGTTTTCTGAATGGAGGTGCTGACTTCCTTAACAGTTTCCTCGTGTCTCTTCCGGCTGTAGGGTGGCTCGGTGGAATCCATTTTGTTGACTCCAACAATTAGTTGTTTCACACCCAGAGTGTAGGCCAGAAGAGTCTGCCCATTCTCGGAAATACCTGCTTCAAATTCACCAACGCCAGCAGCAACCATCAGGACAGCACGGTCAGCCCAGGATGTGCCTGTCATCATGTTTTTGATGAAGCCTCTGTGTCCTGGGGCATCAGTGGTGGTCACATAGTCCTTGCTGGTCTCGAATTTCCATAGGCAGATATCAGTGGTGATACCACGCTCGAGTTCAGCTTTCAGTTTGTCCAAGACCCAGGCATACTTGAAGGAGCCCTTTCCCATCTCGGTAGCCTCCCTCTATAACTTTTCAATGGTTCTCTTATCAATCCCACCACATTTGTAGATCAGATGGCCAGGAGTGGTAGACTTCCCCGAATCTACGTGTCCGATGACAACGATGTTGATGTCTCCTTTCCCATTTTTGCTTAGGTTCAGCAGTGGTTTTCCTGACACCTGTGTCCTGGCGGCAAGCCCGTTGAGAAAAAGCCAGATTCCTTTCAAAATCTCATTTCTTTCTCTTTATTGCCTTTTCTTGCTTCCCCTCCCCCAACCTTTTCTGTCTTTCACCCTAACACGTTGTGATAGAGCGTTTTCTTAGTTCAGAGGCTAAGAATTTAGCTGTATTGATTTGTCACATCGCACCTGCTGAAATCCTAACGGAAAAAAACTTGGCACATGAAATAGAAGTCAGTCTGATGAAATTAAACCTCACGAATGATGCAGCTGCTGTGTACATAGAGAACGCGATCCGCATCTGCATCACTGACTACTTCAGTATTCTCATTTTACGTCTTGGCTCTTTTCATTGCGCTTGCATTTTGCATGTTGGGAAAGTACATTTTGGGATGGTCATTTCATCCTGCAGAAGCAGACACTTGATTCATATGGCTATGTGATTGCGTCTATAACTTAGGTTCACGTAAAGTGTGATAATTTACAGATTATTATCTGTAGAGCCGACCCAGGTACAACTTCTGCAGAGGAGAAACTGATGCCAAAGAGTCACCTTATGTAGGTGGCTCAATCCCGAGGGACTGTGAGGCCGAGGAGGACGCACCCATCTTTAGGGGCAAAAACATCATTTAAAGGAAGAATGATATTAGCATACTTTCTGGGGGGTAAATCTGAAGAGTTTTACTTCTTCCTAGGATCTCTGATTATTTTATTTTTTTATGGCCACAACGTTTGCAAGGCTGAGACTGAGCTGTGCTTGTGCCAACTTTGGAGAAATGTAGGTAGATGAACTTGTGAAAAAGCTATTTACGTAAAAACAAATGTCACCTCATGTTAGGGGTTTCTACCTCCTTTTTAAATTTCTTCATTCACTCAAAACACGTGTATTAAGTGCCTACCAAGTACAAGGCCCAGTTTAGGAGCTGGGGATATAGCAGTTCCCTTGCTCTCATGGAACTTCATTCTAGTGAAAGGACACAGATTTAAAAAAATGGTTAATAGCTCACAAATCACTTGGTGCTTGATGCTATGGAAACAGTAATGCAGGGAAAGAGAATGCTGGGTTGAGGGGTGGGTTCCTATTTTATGCTGGATAATCAGAGATGGTCTCCAATGAGGGAACATTTGAGCAGACCTGATGGAAGTGAGAGGGTGAGCTGTGATGTTTGGGGAAAGAGCAAGTATAAAGATAGGAGGTGGAAGCACGGTGGTGTGTTGGAAAAAGTAAGAACAATGAATGGAGAGAGTACAGGGCAAAGGAGGTGGGGCTTGCAAGAAGCAGGAAACAGAAAATTCTTTTAGAAGATTTTAAGAATTTTGACTTCCACTAACCGAGAAGAAAAGAGTGATGGTGTCTGATTTATGTTTTACAAGTCCTGTCTGGTCGCTCTGTTGAGAATAGACTGTAGGAGGCAGGGGTGGATGCAGGGAGCCCCATCAGGTGTCAGGGGCAGTTATCCAGGTGGGAAACGATGGGGTTTGTGCCATGGTAGTGATAGTGGAAGAGATCGGAAGAGGTCACGTTCAGAATATATTTTGGAGGTGGAGCCACCAGGATTTACCTTTGGGGTGTGGGTTATAGAAAATACAAGGAGATAGGGCTTCCCTGGTGGCGCAGTGGTTAAGAATCTGCCTACCAATGCAGGGGACACGGGTTCGAGCCCTGGTCCGGGAAGATCCCACGTGCCGCGGAGCAACGAAGCCCATGCGCCACAACTACTGAGCGCACGTGCCACAACTACTGAGCCCACGTGCCACAACTACTGAAGCCTGCATGCCTAGAGCCTGTGCTCTGCAACAAGAGAAGCCACTGCAATGAGAAGCCCGCATACCGCAATGAAGAGTAGCCCCCGCTTGCCTCAACAAGAGAAAAGCCCGTGCGCAGCAACAAAGACCCAATGCAGCCAACGATAAAAATAAATAAAATAAAAAAAAAAAAAAAACAAAGAGAAAAAAATTCCTTTTTTTTTTTTTTTTTGTCTGAGAAATTGGTCAGTGAGTAGTAATTTATGGAAACGGGAGAGGCCCAAGGAGGCACGGGTGTTCTGGGGAGAATCAGGAGTTTGGTGTGGGACTGGTTAGCTTTGAGATGTCTACCCGACATCCAAGATATGTGAAGAAGGTAGGTGGATCCATGAGCCTGGAGATCAGGAGACAAGTCTGGGCTGGAGTCAGCATAGAGAAGGTATTTAAAGCCGTGAGACTGGTTGGGATCTAGTCGGTGTGGGTATATACAGGAAAGTAAAGAAGTACAGTGACTGAGCCCTAAGCCACCCCAAGGTTAGGCAGTTGAGAACCAGCCGTACATGCTAAGGAGGGTTAGCCAGTGTCTTAGTTTCATACAGCTGCCAGAACAGAGCTCCAAAACCTGAGTGGCTTCAAACAACAGAAGTTTATTGTCTCACAGTTCTGGAGGCTAGAAGTCTGATTCAAGGTGTTAGCAGGACCATGCTACCTCTGATGGCTCTAGCGGGGGAGTTCCTCCTTGCCTCTTCTAGCTTCTGGCGTTTACTGGCAACATGTGGTATTCAGTGGCTTGTAGATGCGTCACTCCAGTCACATGGTTATCTTCTCCCTGTGTATCTTCACTTCATCTTCCCTCTGTGCCTCTGTGCGTCCAGATTTCCCCATTTCATAAGGACACCAGTCGTGTTGGATTAAGGCCCACCCTAATGACCTCACCTTAACCTGGTTATATATGGGAAATCTGCAAAGACCCTATTTCCAAGCACGGTTACATTCTCAGGTACTGGGGGTTAAGACTTCAACGTATCTTTTTTGGGGGGCACAATTCAATTCATAACAGCCAGCGAGGTGGTAAGAGAACCAGGAGAGTGTGGTATTCTGGAAGCCAGGTGAAGAATGTGCTTCCGACAGGAAGGATGGATAAACTGAGTCAGATGCTGGTGATGGAACAAACAAGATGGGGACTGAGGACTGACGGTTGGCTTGATCATGTGGGGGTCATTGGTGTCCTTGCCATGAGTGGTTTCAGTGAAGTGGTGAGGGCGAGAATTGGATTGAAGTTCAAGAGAGAATGGAAACAGAGGAGTTAGAGAAAGCAAGTGTAGACAGCTTTTTGAGGCATTTTGCATATAAGACATGAGAAGAATGGGGTGGTGGCAGTGGAGAAACCAAGAGTTCAAAGGAAAAATTTTAAAACAGTGGGAGAGGTAGCAGTATGCTTATATACCAGTGTGGAATGACACAATAGAGAGGAGGAGTATTACAGAGAAAAGGGGACAATTTCTAGAACCATGTCTTTGAGGTGGCAAGAGGATGTGGAATGTAATAGCCACGCAGAGGAAGTCTGTGTCGACAAGCCTGCCAGGTGATTCTTATGCACGTCCAAGTTGGAGACCTGCTGTTCCAGTTGATCTCTAGGACCTTTTAAAATTTTATGTCTTGGGCTTCCTTGGTGGCGCAGTGGTTGAGAGTCCGCTTGCTGATGCAGGGGATGCGGGTTCGTGCCCCGGTCTGGGAAGATCCCACGTACCGCGGAGCAGCTGGGCCCGTGAGCCATGGCCGCTGAGCCTGCGCATCCGGAGCCTGTGCTCCGCAACGGGAGAGGCCACAACAGTGAGAGGCCCGCGTACCACACACACACACAAAAATAAATAAAATAAAATTCTATGTCTTGTGATGTATTTTACCCCATTAGTTGAGTATGAAATCCCCCTTTTGTTTAGAATAATGATTACTGCCTGATGTGCGCGAAGAATGAGTTCAGATGGATATGACCACAGAGTATGTACAAGGAGTTGAGCCATAGGGGATGGTAGCTCTCCCACTGTGCTTTACTCTCAGGGCCTTAATAAGCTGTACTCTCTCTTTAAACTACCATTTCTGCCATTTAGAGGTGCCTCTTCAGCATTGCCTGGGAGATCTGGCTGTGTCTCCAACTGCTATTTTTAGATGACCCTGCATCAGACCCCAGTAGAGTGAAGAGCATGTCATGGAGACTTGAAATATTTGTATTTGTCAGGACTCAAATGCTGTACGACAGATTAATGTCCTAATACCCAAATGCTATTATATCAAATTTTTGTATATTGAGTTAACATAAAATATGACCTAGGACTTCCATTAAAACTTTCCAAAGAAAACCCCAGTTTGGCTTGTCTGAGGAGTGTTCAGTTTTATTTTGTTCACTCAAAATTGTAGCTAAAGGTTGGTATTATCGCCTTAATGTGATGGCTCTTTGAGTCACTTTTATTCCAAAATACACAGTTTCCGATAAGAGAGCCCTACTTTCTTTCTTGAATCAAGGCAAGTTCACTTTCATTTTCCTGATGTTAGAGGACTGAAGAAAGTTGAGACAACAGAGAGTTTTAATCAAAGCAGACAGCAATTGACTTCCGTTTTAGTAAAATAACTTTGTGTGAACAGATGTTTGGCCAGCACAGGGAATTATGCTTTACTACCTGTTGAAATTAATTTGAGAATATTGACTGCACATTATTTGGTGGAAACTATGAGACTAGCAAGGTTATATATCCCATACTCTCTGAGGTTTACATTTATCAAGAGGATGTTTATTCCCCTTTCCCGTTTGAAGGAGTCAGAAAGGATTTGAGTTACCTTTCAGTACTAGAAAGTATTTCCCTAGTTCCTCTGAATGTGTCTAAGGGAATTTGGAATGAGACTTACCTTTTAGTACCCTGGGATTTTGTATCCGGCTTATGCTAGTGTCAAACGTTAACTTTTTCCCGTTGGGGCATTTGTCAACATCCCACAGATGAGTGTCTGTCTGTGCCCACCACGGGAGATGCAGAATTTGAGGAGTGCAGGGTCTCGTGGGGCTGACAGTCCAGCAAACAGCGTTTGTAAAACATCCAGCGTGT